AAATTGAAAATTCGCGAACCTTTATCTACTAGCTCACGAAGTTATGGCGTCTAGTAAGTAAGTTATGGCACTCTGCATTCAATAAATGAAGAAAACAATAACTGGATGAGTCTCAGACATAAGTTTTTGTCATCTTCGTTTCATCTTTCGGAAAACGAAAGTAACTCCTCTCTTTATCCTGTTCAGATGACTAGAAACAGCCGTACACAGCACAATTCACGACCATTCTAAATAGTAACGTACAATCATTGACTTACAAATAAATGGACGACGGGTCTAATACAAAAACCACGAAAAAAATGTCCCAAGTCAACTTATTTAAACGTAGTGACATGTAAAGGAATATGAAAAAGCTAAAACGTTGAATTTAAATTGTAATGTCATCGCAGTATTGTCTAATTTTGCTTGCTTCGCTGTCAGTCGAACAAACGAAAACTAAAGCGTGAATGACGCTCTGTATACGATTTTAACGCCCTATAAGTTTGGACACTTTTTAGCGCGGACCCGACGTCCATATAATTTTAAGTCAATGCGTACAATGATGTTATTATATAATGAATAAATGAAAACTATATTCAAATATCAAAGCCGTCTTAGCGTGAAAGTCAGTCAGTCAATCTGACCGTCAATGTCTCCATGCGTAGTGTCCATTTTGGTTACTTTTTGTTTTCTGGTACTGTGTCAAAATATAAATGAAGGGCGTTTAAAAAATAAATTTCATTACAATCTTATACCATCTTTCGGGTGATTTTATAGTTCTTACTCGTATATCATACAATTTTCTGTCCTGAGCAGGGTTGTTGGTGATGCAGGTTTTTTACACATATGACAATAAGTGATGGGACGAACAAGCCGTGCGCCTGATGGTAAGCGACACGCCTGTCCATAAAAGTTGCAGTGCCACTCAGGGCTTTAAATCGCAAATACCTGAGGTGCATTGCCTCTGCGCCCGCCACCCTGAGACATAAGTTGAGAAGTAATTTCAACAGCACCCTTACCCGTAGTAATGCTCATATTACTGCTTGGCGGCAGAAATAGGTAAGGTGGCAGTACTACCCTAGTCGAACTCTTTCACAAGGAGCTCTACTGCTACTAACTGCGTTTTTATCTATAATAAAAACGCGAAAACTCTATGTACATGAAAAAGCTTTCTATTTCCTTTCTTAAGGATATCGTTTTCTCAAATAGTGGAATTTATTTTCTAATTTTAAGTAAAAATAAAGTGATTTCGCTTAATTAGAGCCGCTAACGCCACTGCTTACAATATCTCGGACATTCACAAGATGCAGGCTCCCATCGCCACCCAAGCCCACCATCAAGTGCTCATGAGGCTATGCATTTATCAAATCAATAAAAAAAAAAAAATTATTTCAGACTTTGTCTATTTCATGTTACTTACAGAAAACTTATAGAACCTATTTTAGTAAAAGTTGATAATCCTCGACGTCTCCGGGGAAAGTGCTTACCTCCTACTCCAAGCAGACCAGCGCACAGCATGCTATCAGTGACTAAGAAAAGACTCGTCCCGTTTGCAAGTAATTGGTACCTCTGCCTACACAGTTCGTGGTTTATCTTTCGCACAGTTACCTCCATCAAAACAGGCGACATTCGTAGCTCGTCCTCCTGGAATATTTAAAATTGCCGGATTTAGACGCTTATTACATTACCCGATGTCGAAGACCCCGTGTCAAGACCCTAGTGTACTTTTTCTTTTTGACTAAATTTAAGAGTCGTGGGTATAAAAAAAACGTAATATAACATATAACATAAACGTGATAACCTGAGCGGACAACTATTTTAAAATAATGTGTGTTTAAATTAGATTTCAAAAATAGTATAATTTATTATTGTAATTAATGGAAATGGACAATTATTGCTACTGATGTGTAAAAAGAGAAAATTTTACTAAACGAAATTGGACTAATATTTGTATGGAATTGTATACCTGACCATTGAAGTTTCATAATAAACAATAATAGACAAATAAAAACTTTATTTGAAATTAACTTACTTACTTAATTTCAAATTGTTTGCCACCAATTTTGCTGATTGTGGTGTACAAAAACGTAAAAAATTAATTTTAAAGAAAAACAACAATATCTTAGGTACTACGTTTAATATACTAGTTTTTTTTTAACAATCATAAGCTATACTGTAAGCCATTTCAGGCTTATCCATGCATTAAATAACACCTGTATACAAGTAAACTAAACACGTCTAAATACCAATTTTTTAAAAACTTACCATTGTTGACCCCCAGCCTATCTGTTTCAATTCTGTGTTGTCATCGAGGACAAAGTTCTGAAAATTTCAGATATTATTTTGCCATGAATTATATTTAATTGCTAGAACGTTCTCCATACTTACTCTAGAGTCGTATTCTAGAACTCTACTTAATGCTTAAGTCAGGATTGCACTGGAAACACAAGCACTGGAAATACGACCCTAATGGCAGGGACTCGAGTATGATTTAGAGTGCTTTAAACCATACTCAAATCCTGACTTGAGCGTTGAGTAGAGTTCTAGAATACGACCCTAAGAGTTGTATTCTAGAACTCTATTCAATGCTCCAGGATTGCACTGGAAACACAAGCACTGGAAATACGACCCTAATGGCAGGGACTTGAGTATGATTTCGAGTGCTTTAAACCATACTCAAATCCTGACTTGAGCATTGAGCAGAGTTCTGGAATACGACGCTAAGAGCCTATCCACACGACGCGCGGTAGGGACGCGCGACTTTTAGTTAATAATCAATCGCCTAAGTCGACTCCAAGCACAATCGGTCGATTTCCAAAAAAAATGCCTTTAATATATTAACTAAACTCAGAAATAGCTTTTGGAGATTTATTACTTTTTGTCAATTCCAATCACAATTTACTATAATCACAATGAGAACAATAACAATCAATATAAATGAATAAAAAGCACTACTACGCCAGTGGAAGGAAACCTCTGTCGCGCAACAAGCACTAAGAAGTGATTCTGCATTGTTTTTTGTAAAGGACGTTTTGCAGTTGGCCGCTGATGGCCTTGACTGCGCCACCGGATAAGAGGGCGAGCTGAAGGCTCATAACCCGTAAGGATTCTGCACGCCGGCTACCCACGCCTTTTATACTGCGCCCTTGGCCCTTGGTTAGGGGAATTCCCTAAGAATAGCTTTTGCTAACAAATAGCCCGCGCGAGCTCAATCTATGATTGTGGATAGTGAAGATTCAGTGATGTTAAATACGCGGCTGAAACATATCCCGTAAATTATTATTATATAGGATAGCGCCTACGACTTTTTAAATAATAGAATTATTGTTGATTGCTTGTTTTATTAAGCTCTTGTATAATTAAATAATTTATTTATTTATTTAATAGTTTATTGTACAGGAAAAATACAACAAGCAACAAAAAATACAATAGAAATTAAATACAAAAGGTTCTGCTTATTTCTAATAGAAATTTCTTCCTGCAGACCTAAATACAGGACACTATAACTAAAAGAACGGGCATATGTGCACAACAAAACAAGGAAAATAAAATATAATATAAAAATAATATAATAATATTAAATTGTTATAAATTATATAAATACTTAGATAAGTACATATTTTATAATGTAATACCTAAGATATGGATGGAATAGTAGAATATTATGTAATTATGTTGTTTAATTATTATACTACGACTAGTTACAGCCTCGTGGTGTTTTTAAAACGATCAAAACAAAAAACCTTGCCACTTGCTTTGATCGCATAAACACGCGAGGGTTACACTGTGTAATTAATTGTTTTGTTATATTACTACCTATAAAAATACCTATTTAATTGTAATTATAATTATTAATTAGTAATATCGAACTGGTTATCGTCTCGTGGTGTTTCTTAACAAAGAACGGTAGATCATTACTATAAATGAGATAAGAAAGGTCCAAGTATTGAGCCCTGTGGAACACCCGTTTTTACCGGAGAACCGTCCATTTATTGGTAGGTCAAAGGGAGAACCCAGGGGTCCTGTCTACATATTGTGCAATATTGACTTACCTGTTTGGGTATCTCAACTAAACCGATGCTGTCGCTCAGAGTTAACGGGAAGCGCATTTGCAAAAGAGCGATGTCATTATCTCTTAGAGGTATGTTGTATTTCTCGTGAATTATTAAACGCGATATTCTGACCACCGTGCCACCTGGAAAGGAATAATTAATTAACTAAATTTCGAGATTAATGTCGATTCTATACCGAAGAAGCCATTTATTAACCGACTTGAAAAAGGAGAGGTTCTCAATTCTACTATTTTTTGTGTGTATGGCCGACATTTATTTATTATAACTGCCTCTGTGGCCGAACGGTTACCATGCCGGACTGCCACGCAGAAGTCCCAGGTTCGATTCCCGGGCCGGGAGAAATATTTGTATGACCTATATAGAAATATTTGTGTCTCTCGTGAGTTTGGGTGTAATTTGTGGTTGTCTATACGCGTGTCCATGGCACCCGCGACACAGGGTTTCCCTAGTGCGGGGCTATGTTGAGTGTGTGTGTTATTATTATTATATTATTAGTATTATTTAGAAACCAATTTCGATGATCTTTTTTTGTTGGAAATTGGGTACCTCGGACACTTCCGAGGTAATGTAAGATTTTCAAATTCTAAGAAAATATTCTACCTCTAAACTTATTTTTTTTTATTAAAGAACTTTTTTTTATGACATCAAGTGACGGGACGAACAAGTCGTGCGCCTGACGGTAAGCTACATGCTTGTCCATAACACTTACAGTGCCACCCAGAGCTTTAAATTGCAAAGATCTGAGGGGCACTACAACTGCGCCCGTCACCCTGAGACATAAGTTGACAAGTCCCATGTGCCTGTAATTTCACCAGCACCCTTACCCTTCAAAACCGGAATACAGTAATGCTGACATTACTGCTTGGCGGTAGAAATAGGTAAGGTGGCAGTACTTCCCTGGACGTACTCTTTCACAAGGAGCTCTACTGATACTGATAACCTGAGTGCATTGACTTACAATTATATGGACTTCGGGTCCGCGCTAAAATGTGTCCGAACTTATAGGGCGTTAAAATCGTATACAGAGCGTCATTCACGCTTTAGTCTTCGTTTGTTCGATTGACAGCGAAGCAAGCAAAATTAGACAGTACTGCGATGATATTACAATTTAAATTCAACGTTTTAGCTTTTTCATATTCCTTTACATGTCACTACGTTTAAATAGGTTGACTTGGGACATTTTTTTCGTGGTTTTTGTATTAGACCCGTCGTCCATTTATTTGTAAGTCAATGCCTGAGTGTAACAATATTGTTCCACCTTTCCTTTTTATGAGTGTAGGGTTTTCCATATCATCACACATTTTTAATTTATTTATCACAAATCAAATACAATTCCGTCTTCAGAAAAATCACAGACAAATCATGTGAAAATGACAAATAAAATTACTTTTGTTTCATTGTTTATAAAATATATGGAAATACGTTAATAGCTTTCACTGAAGACGCTGATAAGTTTAGAGAATCGATAACATACATACGAGTACTACAATATCAATTATATATATATCCTTTTGATCCTACCAGTAGGAGCATAAGGACATATTAGTCCTTATGCCAGTAGGAACATGAGGAAACGGCCTCTCAGAGCTCGGGATGTTGGCAACTAGCTACAGCAATGGTCGCTGACGGCGATGAATGATTCAAACATTTGTCAGCCGTTGTCAGCGGGTCGCCTAATATTTATTTAGATTCATAGTTGATTTACTGGCTAATTTTGTTATTATACCTGAATTGTTGTTCGTGGTTCCAGCACGCACTCTAAAATGGAAGATATCAATTAATACACCGTCTCTGAAACAAGACATTGAACATTTTATAATAAGATCAAGGGTAACTTCCGCCTGTTTGGTGGATCAATGCCTACACTTATAAAAATAAAAATGTATTTATTTCTCAAATTTGATACTTATCATATAATGAGCAAAGCAGTCGATAAATATTCTATCGACTATCGATTGAATATAGGTCAAGCTTATGGAATAAATAGCGGAACTTGCTTCATTTCAATCATTCTCGGCCCATTATTCGTTCAATTACTGAGCACAGGTTCATTTGAATGATCAGTCTTCGTAAGTTCATGCATAAATATACATTGTATCGGGTCTTTCAACAAGAACTTTGTTTTCTAAAACAAAATAAAACAAAAAATTTAGATGAAGATGATTCAAATTTTTATTTTATTACAAAGAGAAAAGTTCGGCAATTATGAATGAAAAATGATATCTGGCAAATGTCCACCACGACCACGCTGACAGAAGTCGATTCTTTCATCAAAATTTTTAATCACTTTTTGGCAAAATGTCGGGTCTATTTCGGCTATCACATCACGGATTTTGAGTTTTAAGGCTGTAGTCGATTCGATTGGCTCCGTATAGACTCTGTCCTTAAGATAGCCCCACAAAAAATAATCCAGTGGTGTTAAATCACACGATCTGGCTGGCCATTTAACAGCTGAATTTCGGGAAATTACGCGATCAGCAAATTTGGTTTGCAATAAATTGATCGTCTCATTGGCTGTGTGACATGTGGCACCGTCTTGTTGAAACCACATGTCAGTGATATCCATGTCATCAATGCTAGGCCAAAATTGAGTTGTTAACATCTCGCGATAGCGTGAGAGACTCATCAGACAGACAGAGAGAATCATCTTCATCTAAATTTTTTGTTTTATTTTGTTTTAGAAAACAAAGTTCTTGTTGAAAGACCCTTTATTTAGAACTATGTCACTAATATTCGCCTATACTTGTTAAAATGTATATTATGATTATTAATACAAAGATCGAACACTCAGAAAAAACATTCAGAAAAAATTCCTTCGATCCGGTCGGATTAGAACCGACGTCTTCTTGCATACCGTGCCAGACGCTATACCAACTAAGCCACGGAACGAACCAACGGACCTTTCGAATTTTTCTATGTGCTTGCGTCGTGTCTTTGTACTTGGTCTTTCAACGACTTTTTCCTTTTACTCCGTGTTCAAAAAGACAGACTATAGCGGAGGTTTACCCGTTATGTAAATTTATGCTTGTGTTGGAAAAGCTTCGCAACTTCCCTGAGCTTACATAGAGAAGTTATTGCGAATCAAAATAATTACATAAAACAAAGAATGTTTAGTGTGTAGTAAATATGGTATATATATAAATGTATACGAGTGTCGTGTTGTGTATATGTGTGTAATAAATAATATTAAATTAGAAGTGTTGGTTATTTAATGCGTTCTAAAAGCTTCAAGATTTTTCCACTTCCTTATATGTAAGGGTACCTAACCATTGGATTGGACAGCGCGCGTACCATATTCAATTATAAACTGCCCTTGATAATACGGAATACTGCAGCTTCCCGAGATCCCGATGGATCTCAACCAATAATAGCGCGAGTCAAGCCGGCCTTAAGTGTCGCCAATTCGCCTTTTTCACGGGAAATGTATTTTTTGTTAAAGTAGGGGTTTTTTGTTTTCCTCCAGTTTTACAAATAAATGGACGAGGTGTCTAATACAAAAACCACGAAAAAAATGTCCCAAGTCAACCTATTTAAACGTAGTGACATGTAAAGGAATATGAAAAAGCTAAAACGTTGAATTTAAATTGTAATGTCATCGCAGTACTGTCTAATTTTGCTTGCTTCGCTGTCAGTCGAACAAACGAAGACTAAAGCGTGAATGACGCTCTGTATACGATTTTAACGCCCTATAAGTTCGGACACTTTTTAGCGCGGACCCGACGTCCATATAATTGTAAGTCAATGCTCGCCACTGATACATTTGTCATGTTTTGTTAATGAAGTTGTAAACAAATGCTGATTGTGTGTTGTATTGTCAACTAGCAAATACGAACACACCGCGTGAATATGCTACAATATAGTTTCTTTTATGTTGTATCTTAAGGTAGAACGGCAGCGATTTATGACATTTACGCCACCCCATGAAGAATGCAGTATGTTAGAACAGATTGGGATAAAGACAGGTAGACCATATTGGTGACGTGGTTATCTGCAATGTTACGAAAGCTTTTAAAGATAAATATCAATTTCCGGGTCCTTGCCGAAAGTAAATCTCTGTGCAAATTAAAGCACAGAGTATTATCTATCATTACACCAAGATATTTGATATGGGAAGCTAACGTAACACTGGGGCAGGAGCATGATTGGTCGTCGAGATACGTATGATCTGTGATGGCGTAATTGTCATGAATGGTCTAAGGAATATTTTTAATTGAAAAAAGGAATAAATTTCGTTTTTCCTACATTTACTGTTAGGGCGTTGTTGTTTTTGAGCTAGGAATAAACTAAGATAAAGCCAGTCATACACCTCTTGCCTGGTATCGCCATGAAATATTGGTGCAGTGTCATCGGCAAATGTTACTATTTCTCCATTATGGAGCTGGAGATCACCGAGATCATTTGTGTAGGCGAGGAACAGTGTGGGGCCAAAAACACTCCCTTGCGGCACGCCGTAATCCATGGGCGGGTCATTATCATCGTACATCATCATTACAAACATTAGCGGAAGACTAACAATTTTCGCTGTTAATATTTTTATAGCAGTAGAGCTCCTTGTGAAAGAGTTCGTCCAGGGATGTACTGCCACCTTACATAATTCTGTCGTCAAGCAATAATGTAAGTAATACTACGTTCCCGTTTTGAAGGGTAAGGGTGCTGGTGAAATTACAGGCACGTGGGACTTCCCGACTTATGTCTCAGGGTGTTGGCTGCAGTGGCCCTCAGATTCTTGTGATTTAAAGCTCTGAGTGGCACTGCAACTGTTATCGATAGCTATGTCGCTTACCACCAGGCGCTCGACTTGTTCGTCCCGTTGCTTAGTATTACAAAAAAAAGACCGAAAATGAAATAGAGAGAAAAAATAGATAATCATAAAAAGTATGGTAGCTTCATAAATTTACTTACTCATCAAAGAAGCAATGCGCTGCAGAAAGGACAATTTGTCTTGTGAGAAGTGATCCGCCGCATACTAGAGAATTACCTCGGTTTATCTGAAAAAAAAAAGTGTAATTTGATATTGGTTGTAACGAATATTATGATGTTTTACTAACATTACATTTTAATTGTCTTAAGTCTCAAAAATCTGCAGGCTGATTTTAATTTAAAACGGAGTCGATTCGTTCGGGCAGACCATCCGAATCTCGAAATCAGATGGTTTTCCGAGCGAGAAGATGAACCTGATTCCTACCATATCTTTCAAATAACTATATCTGTCAAAGAACATATAGCTGATGTCAAACACGGTCGCGTAAACAAGTCTGCAGTCTGCGAGCATGTCATGGACAAACCTACACATTCAATGAAGTTTGACAAACCCCAAGTCCTTGCAAAAGAAGTCCGTTATCTACCCAGGATGCTGCGAGTGGCCATTGAAATTAAGAAACATCCTAATTTCAACAGGGAAGATGGTTTCTCCGTACCACCAGTTTGGGATCCAGTATTTCCTCTAATGAAAAATTCCAAACAGACATAAGACTGCAGTACTAATTAATATGTTTTAGTTTATTCTAATTTCTATTAATAATTAATAATAAATTGAACTTAATAAAAATTCATTCGATAAAATAATTTGTAAAACTTAATATAGCGTAAATTGGAATGTTTTCTTTGTAAAATTAAACATTTAATTAATAACTATTGTAACTATAGTGAAAAAATAGGGTGGTTTGCATCAATATTAGACATAACTGGTTGAAGACTGTACCACCTCAGTCAGCCGTGACCATGGGACCTGTAAAGGGCCCGAAACGTGGGTTTGTTTGAAAAAACAAATATACGCGATTTAAATCCGGAAAAATAGTTTCATTTCCTATATATCTTTCTAATTTGTGAGTTAAATCAATTATTGTTCCGATCCGTTTGAAATGTCAAAAGTCTCCGATCGGCCAATGCAATGTGAATAGCAATTATGCGCCTCAACTCGGAAAAGACGCAGTTTCCAATCGGAAGAGGCAATTAAAATCAAGCTGCTGGTCTGATTCACAATATCGAAAGTCGATGATCTTTGTATCGAAAACGTTACATTGATTGGTCGTTACAGCGAGGTTTGTTAAATCGACGGTACGCCATATCGACAGGACACAACATTTCGACGTGTGAAGGTACGCTACATCGAAAGTACGCTACATTGATGGTACGTGACGCGTTCTTCGGCATACCTAAGGGTGGCGAATGATCGAAAATGTTATGGCGTCATCCTAATCGAACGCAGATTACGCGTCCATCGCAATTTCGTTCATCAAACATACAGATCTCGAATATGTTTTCTAATCGCCGCCGCCGTTCGCGCGATGCAATCGCGGGACTATAATGTTTGACATCTATTCGTGCGAACTTAGTTCGTACGAACGCACGGTATAACATATTTTATGTCCTAATTGATAACCGCGTCGCCTTATCGCAAACTGGCTCCGCGGCCGCACCCAGGATCGCGAGAACAGGGGCTCGTGCGACTATCATAATTATCATCATCATTATATCAGCCGGAAGAAAGAAAGAAAGAAAGAAGTTTATTCACTGAATTGAAACACTACACACACTTATACCTTAAATTACAACTAAAAAGAAAACAACAAGTGACTTATTAAGTGTGCGTAGTGGCTCAAGCGAGGAAAAGGATACGACTCAGCAATATGTATATCTCGGTCGAAACAGACGCTGATTTTCAGTCGTTCCTGTATCGGCGTCGACTGAGTCCCGAGGAAATGGTACATGTATATCCTTCCTTCGTGAAGACGTCCACTGCTGAACATAGGCCTCCCCTAAAGATTTCCAGACCAGCCGATCGGACGCGACGTGCATCCATCGATTACCCTTACCAGGTTATCCGTCCATCTAGTAGGGGACCGTCCCACTGAACGCCTTCCGGTTCGTGGCCTCCATTCGAGAACCTTTCTGCCCCAACGGCCATCAGTTCTACAAGGAATGTGCCCTGCCCACTGCCACTTCAACTTGCTAATCCTTCGAGCTATGTCGGTGACTTTCGTTCTTGTTTGGATCTCCTAATTTCTAATTTGATCACGTAGAGAAATGCCGAGCATTATCATGATAATCATTTAATCATTGCATCTTGCAAAACTTCTTAAATTAAGTAGAGTCCAGGCATGTAACCCTGCAGGGCACCGCAATTTATCTTGCTTGTACAAAAATTATAAAATTTATATTCAATTTAATGTAATTCACATGGTTCTTAATTGTTTGGTTAAATCTATAAAAATAAAATTTTACATTATATAAATTTGTTTTAAATTAAAATCATACAAGAAAATAATAATAAATTTAAGTTGTAATAATAAATTTAGGAGAGTAATGACAATTAAAGAAATGTAATTAATATTGGACACATAATTATCTCAAAGGTTTCTAGCGTTTATAATACATATATTCGTAATATGTCTTTGCTCTCAAAAAACTCTTGCAAGGCGTAAAAACATTTTTGTACCAAGTAGTTAGTAAGTTTTTTATTGCACGTGTTATTGTTAATCTCGTCCCTAATACTTTTAGGACCCTTATTATATATTGACCCGTCGTGTACACGATGTGCATAAAAATAATGTTTATAATATAATGTTTTATACAAACGTGGGGGGACCCAGCTCCATGTCGTCCTCTGGATGACCCTCTACGGGGCGCCCATCTGGGAGGAGACCCTCACCACCAGACTGCGGCCGCTTATGCGCAAGCCGCAGAAGCTAATGGCGGTGAGGGCGATTAGGGCATACCGGACGGTTTCCGGAGCGGCGGCATGCGCCCTACCTGGATCCGCACCCTGGGAGCTCGAGGCGTCCGTCCTTGAGCAGACCTATAGGTGCCGTGAGGAAGCCAGGGCACGTGGAGAGCGCCCCACACTAAAGGAGCTAGTGCGCTTCCCAGCATAGTTAGAACCATGCTGGGAAGCGAGTGGTCATGGCATGCGATGGTCGCCCCCCATGACTAAGGGGGGGATGGTGTAGGGGTCCGCCCAAAGGTGGACCGGCACCACCAGAGTCGCGGTAGCATCTGAAAGGGACCCCGCAGCTCCGGCGCCAGGTGTGCGCAGGAACATCGTGAGGTTTTTAGTGGGTATGCTCTTGGGGACCGACATAGTCCCCAGGAGAGAGTCCCACATATCCCCGCCGTCTCCCAGAGGCGGGGAATGCGTAACGCATTTTCCTCACGGTAATAAAAAAAAGGTTAGGTTAAGTTGAGTCGGGGGACCGATGTGTCTAAGCTTCTGGAGGAGGGGCGCAGGACGCGGCCAGCCGCTGGTGGGGGCGCCTACAGCGGAGAGGAGACACACTCCGGGGGCTTAGTGCGGTCGGGCTGCTCCCCTTCAGGGTCCAGTCCAGTCCCACAAAACTCCGGCTCTGCCCCCGCGGGGCCGAGGTATCTGTAAGCAGATTCCCCCGGATTACCAAAAAAAGGTTTCAAAAAAATCATTTCGGTGTCATTTCGGACTACTGATAGGTAACTTTCGCGCATGCTCGAGAATGCTCGCGCATTTGCGAGAACTGCCGTCGGCGTCGCCTGGCGAATACGCGGGAATTGGGGCGAAGGCAGGCGCAGTGCTACGTCAAACTACAGCCTCAAGGCGCCGTCGCGAGAAAGCTCGCGTATGCTCGAGTATTCCAGCTACCGTGTGCCCAGTGAATTGGAACTGACGCTGCCGTTTCATTCCTTTCCGCCGCAATCCCCCGGGATGCTTTTTTTAATAATATCAAGTGACGCGACGAACAAGTCGTGCGCCTGATGGTAAGCTACACGCCTGTCCATAACAGTTCCTGTGCCACTCGGAGCTTCAAATCGCAAAGATCTGAGACAAGTTGCCAAGCCTGTAATTTCACCAATTTAAGGATGTCCGTTGTACCTAGGGATACTGCGGCATAATTGCCGTCAGTGTGCACCAGGTCTTGTGCACCACTTGGTCATTTATCACTAGAACGTGAACGAATTTTTTAAATTAAACGGTTCATTACCTTTTTAAAATAAGTTTTAATTTAAAAAAATGTGTACCTACAAGTCTGAGAGGTATAAAATAAATTTAAAATAACTTGGTTACAACGAACCTGCACTGCAAATGGGTATGTTTCAATTGTGGTCTCGGTACCCCCGATGATGCGGCTGGAGGTTTCGACAGTAGATGTGTTAGAGAGGCCAATCTGTTGTACTTCGGCTCCGAAATTGCAGGACACTTAGATAAAAAAAAACATTACATAGGTACATATCTTTTTGGTAGCCTAATGATTGTCTAATGCAATTTGGAAGCCATGGTAGCCTAATGATTTGATCTACCGCCTCTCAAGCAGTGGTTGTGGGTTCGAATCCGGCCTCGTACCTTTGAGTTTCTCGGAATTTATGTGCGAAATTTAATTGGAAATTTACCATGAGGTTTTCGGTGAAGGAAAACATGATGAAACCTGCCTGTTGAAGGTTCACAACCCTCGGAAAACGTATAAAGTCCCCAACCCGCATTAGGCCGGCGTGGCGGTCTATGGTCAGCACTCTATACCCTCACCGGCGTCATGCACTAATGCCACGCCACTCTATTTTTTATTATGATATTACCCACTGTAAGGTACGTCCCACTGTAATTACCTACTGTAAGGCACTAGCCTTACAGAGAACCGGATGAAGTACGTGCAAACGTGCTGATCCGGGGTTAGGACCTGACTTAGATGGTCCCTGTACGAGCTCGCTCGCACTGGTCATAGTGCCCTTCCCGCATAACCAAGAGGTTGATATGGAGGGGTACTATAAACAAAACTTATGTAGAATGATATGGGACTTTAAGGTACCACAGGGTACAGGTATCCACTGACCCGAAAGATAGGGTTTTCCGGAGAGACTACGAGCTCGACGGCAAGACTAGAGGTACAGCGGGCATCCGGGCCAAGCCTTCCGCCAGTGATACGCCTTCACGGGCGTTTCTGGTGGACCCGGACGTGGGTATGGACTCACTGACGCTCGACGGACATGATTGTCTGCCCCGGTTACATGCGGCAGGGGCGTCTGTCTCGTGCGCACCTAGCGCATCTTAGTAGCGGTCTAGTTGAGGGCCTGAAGCGAGGAGACGAGCGGGGCCCGTGAGTTGTCCTTTAAGTTGGAAGTTATATTCGGACATTGTCGCAGGACACTGCAACTGGCATCTCCAGCACTAGCCCGGAGAGCTAGTATGAGGATAAGCTAGATATTCTCCGGTCCCTTCAGCCGCTTAGGTTATTGGAAACTGGAAAGACGTCGACGACGTTTTTCGGCGTCGGGAAGTCATCGAGAGTTGACGGCTTAACGGTGGCAACTGCTAGTTGTGCAATGTGCAACGGGAAGTGAGCGTGCCTACAGCTCCGGTACCTATCTAGAAAATAGGTAGGGTACTGTACGTGCACTCGGCGGCTCACCCGAGGCACTAGCCCTAGGCCTAGGTCTAGCACGACTTCATCCGGTTCTCGAGAGGCCTCTCGAGAACCGGATGAAGTCAGTGACAGAGGTTTGTTACAACCCTGTACATTGGCTGATCTGGGGTCAGAATCTGAACTTGTAAGGTTCTTGTGCGCGCACAAGTTATACTTAGTGCCCTTCTCGTATCTCGTAAGGGTAGATAGAGAGGGTCACTATAATCAAAACGGATGTAGATATGGGGCTGTAACGTATGGCTGACGTACTTGAAGTACATGCTTTTTTTGTGTGTACTACTGTTAGTTTAAAAGAAAAAAAAAATATTTATGGTGGCGTTGCTATGGACGGAGAATTTTTTGTAACTGGATGCAATTTTTAGCTATTTTTCTGAATTTAGCCAATATACAAACGCTGTGTAAAAAATAGGGGAAATGTAAGTTAATTCTGCTACATTTGGCGGGGTGTAGCTACAGAGCATGACACGAGACTCGTGTGTGACGTATAAATGAGTTGATGATATGGTCATACCTTTTGGTCGCAGTAAAAGTAATAATTTTCTATAGAACAGCTGTTTCTTAATCGTGATTAGATACTAGTGCTTATTGTCAAAGTAAACATTCACTACGCTGACCTAATTTGGATTGGTGAGGTCACAAGTAATTCTTATACCTTTAAAGAATTATGTAAACGCAGACGGAGTCGTGGGCATCAGCTAGTGTAAAATATAAACAACTCACCCCAGTTCACAACACACAATAAAAAAACGAAAACACTCCTAGAGTTCTTCATGGTGGCACTAAATCTATTAAGAAATGACGCCCGGCATACGTTTGGCTATCTGTTTATCAAAACCTTGATATCCTATCTGTAGACTAAACATCCGTTAGTCATTCGACAATTAAATGGAAAGGCGATTGTTGATACACAAGAACAAAAACAGTACATAGGGACGGGTGTGTAATAAACGTTAGGGTGGAAAAAAACTTTTCGGCGGTTTAGGACCACAATAAGAAATGACCACATCTTCAAATAACCACTTTTGAAATTCACCATCCGTCTCGCGGACGCTGTCGCTGTATTGTAGTTATGCACCCGAGATCCTAGCATTTAATTAGGGTTTATTTATCAATATTAATTACAATACAATGTTATTATGCTGCGAATATTTACGTTTTAATACTTTGAAGACAAAACTAAAAATACCGAAAAACCCGGGTTTTCCTTAGTTGAAAACAGGGTTCCAAAATGGACAGTTACTCGGATTTTTCGGTTAACCTATTAACTGGTTTGTATGCCCTAATGGTAGGCAAAAAAGGGTATTTTAATATCTTTGTATAAAAGCAAGAACAAAACCATGATTACAAGTAGCGTTAGTGTAGTCCCTCCCTAGGCAAATTAGTATGCCACGGGGAGCAGCAGGAGTTAGCCGAGTACACAGGAGCCTCTATAAGATTCTGCGCTAAAAAAATAAAGTAATTTTTTTGTATAAAGTTGACTGTACATTAACGCATACCATTGCCATGATAACGTTTGGTCAGTATGCTATCTGATAAGAGTGCTGTGTTAGTTAATAACAAAATATAGAATTTTGTAAATAATTCTCGGCGTGGGCTGAGATCGGGAGGTGCAGGGCAAAACGGGTATTTATACCTTTTTTTTCCCCCCACTTCTCTTATTTTGTACGAATGCATGGCTTTAATTTAATATCGCTACCCCAGTCGAATAAAACGGTAAAGTGATGTAACCGCCATTTTATTTTTATTACATTGTTGGATTTTCTGAACCCTCTGCATCGCTCAGATTATTTCTATAAAATGTGAAATTATATTTGCAAAATTGTGCCGAAAAAAGAAAGCAGAGCTAACCCTGTCGACTATAGACCTATCTCAGTCACTTCCATTCTTTGCAAGACTATGGAACTTGTTACTCAACAACCGTCGCCTATCGTCTCGCCTTGAAGACAACGACCTCCTTAGTGACTGCCAAAACGGATTCTGGCGAGGGTGATCTATTGGGGCTTCTTGTGTGTTCCTGTCACATATGGAGCGAGGCTACAGAGAAGCAAGGTGAAGCACTTGCAGTGTCTTTGGACATTTCTAAAGCCTTTGACAGCGTCTGGCGCGCAAGCCTTTTAAATAAGTTTCACACTTATGGGCCTCCCACTGACCTTTGCAATTGGATCTCGGATTTCTTGAGGAAACGTTCGATTCGAGTAGTCTGGCTACTCTTCAGAGTTCAGAGGGGTAGGTATTGACCACTGCAAGGATCAGTGGAGAGAACATCCAGTCTTGTCGAGACTCCATGCTTAGTTAGTTTGGATTTGACACTTAAGGCGGTCTCAGATCGGGGCGATGCCAATCTTGTCAAAACGCAACCAAAACACAGGCTAGACACCTATTCTCCACAAAACGGAGTTCCTTCGACCTGACTCCGACGTTTCGTGATATATTATTATATATAATCATAGCCGACTGTCTCTAGCTACTTAGGATGGACCTGTCCTCCAATTTGAACTTCGGCAGATACATAGAATTCATGGCCAAAAATGCATCAAGGAAGATTGGCATCCTTTCCAGAGTGAGGCGTTACTTCGCACCGGGACAGTTGCTTCAAGTGTACAAAGCACAAGTCCGTTCGTGTATGGAGTACTGCTGCCACCTATGGGATGGCTCTGCTGCATACCAACTGGTATTAACTTTATACTTTGATTGTGGCCAAGCGTGTGTCTATTATACTTATATATAAAAAAAATAAAAAAAGCAATCAAAATCGACAAACGTGTCAAGAGGCTTACAGGTAACACGAAATTTGTAGATGCGAAGCTGCAGAGCCTTGACCATCGCCGTAAACTGGCCTGCTTATCGATATTTTACAGGATGTACCACGGAGACTATGCGATGGAATTACACGATCTAATTTCGTCTTCCCCTTCACCGGGGGACTAGACGTAGGCTTGGGTTCCACACCTATGTTGTGGATATACCAAAGATTCGCACTTCCAGATTTATATGGCAAACGGCTATGGAGTGGAATTCCCTGCCTGCAGTGCTATAACTTGGGGTTTTACAAGGCGAGAGTGAATAAGCAATATTTGGTGTGCATGCTCCATCGTCGACCTCATCGTCACTGTCCACCAGGTGAGACGAAGGTCAAATGCGCACTTACATTTTGTATAAAAAAGAGTCATTATTATGCATGATTATAAATTTTTTGAAACTATTTTTACCGATACAGAAAATTTTTAATTAAATGTACTTTAATTTGTTTTCCAACATTATTGATTTGTAGCCAACAACAGTGTTATTATGACAGAAAAAAGTACTTACTTTCTAATTTTGTTGATAAGATACAATTTTGGTGATCACAGATAAGTCACCAAAATTGTGTCACGAAAACTGGAAAATTAGCAACAAGTTATTTTAAAAAACACTATTTAAGTTAAGGCAACATTAACTATAGCATATCAAAGGTATCCAAAATCAACATTCAAAATGCACACAGCATCATTTGAAACCTTATTATATAACCGGTAAATGATCACAAAAATGGTTCAGTTTTGGCCCCCATGTCACCAAGTATTAGTACTTATCTTTTTGGCGGGAAAAGCAGCACGATCTCCGCACAACCGATCACACTGCGCATTAGCGCGACTCTGGAGGGGCGGGAGGTAATGATCAGAAAGTTCGGAAAGCTTACAGTGTTTGTTAGTGAGAATTTAAAATTGTTCACCAAAATTAGGCTCTTCCCGCGGACGATTGTTCTTGGTACGATATTACTTTATATTAGACCGTTTAATTAATCATTTATTTAATTATGGATAGTAATATTCAATGGGAATACGGGTGTACAAGTATTTTTTCAAAATATGGTTCGATTTTTTTTCAATCAAGAAAACAAATTTCAGGCAGGTTGTGGACGCGTCACCAAAATTAGAAATCAGTACTAACAAAAATTGTATATATACTATAACGTCGACGTAGGATTTTTTTTAATGGCTCCAGGTGAAGATTTAGGTATAATTGACTACAAAAAATATTACATACTATTTTAGCAAGTTATACTACGACTTTCGACCACGCCGCACAAAAATCACAGCTGGGGAAATCGCTGTGTTACGTTTTGACTATACTTATCACCATTACGCATTGTTTAAATAGAAGTAATTAAAATAAACAGTAATATTATTTTACAAAAAATTGCGTAGCTAAGCTTAACAGCTTGTGAGTGTTGGTAACATATTTTGGGGCTGATTAAAATGTATGTCACAAGTAATATATTAGGGGTTAAAGTATGAAATTGCCATTTTATTGCAATAGGTTCTTTGAATTTTCATAGAATCTTCATGGTTTGAGGTTTTCGAATGAAACTTTATTCAAATGGTTTTTGTGATTTTTTTTTTAATGTTTCAAACATTTGTATATCGACTTTCAATTGTTTTTGTTATTCAATTTAGACAAGAAAGATGGATACTGCGAAAATTCGAGTGATTTTTGAATACGAGTTCCGACGCGGAACTAACGCGGCAGAAACAGCCCGCAATATCAATGCCGCGTTTGGAGAGGGGTCTACTAATGAACGCACCGTGCGATTTTGGTT